ACACACACACACACACACACACACACACACACAGAGCTATTTTTATGTCATCCTCCCAACTCTGCAAGCCTCCTAATCCTGTGTGCAGGGCATTATTTATTCCAGGCTTCCAACTAAACCAGGAACTGTTCCCTACTCCCCTTACTATTTATCCATATACTGGTCACTGATCATGGATTGTCCACACTACCATGTCCTGGAGAGTTGCTTCCTATTTGCTCTATGATTATAGCCCAGCTCACTTTCTGTGAAACACCTCTGGCACTGATAGACCAGTGGAACTTCTGTATCATCCAGTAGGTTCTTCTCCAATGAAGTATGAAATTCAGCCTTGGGGAGGGGCCCCCAGTCTAAGTTTATCTTTGCTTGGATACTCTCACCCAGGTCTAGAAAACCTCATACAGATTTCTTTTTATACCCTATATAAAACTTTTAGTTCTACAAGTCTTTATGTTAGATTTCCTCCATCTAGATCATTGTGTACTTTTGTCTCTTGATTGGACATCATTCTTAACAGAAAATTACTGAAAACTTTTTCTTTCAGAGCTGCATTAAGTAAGGATGTCCACTATCACCACTTCTATTCAACAATCTTGTGCCAGGGCAGGGGGTGCCCCCAGAGAAAGCGGTAATGGAAGATGAAAGAATAAAATGTTAGGAAAAGAGAAAGGAGCTCTAGTATTATTTGCAGATGATGTGAATGTCTACGTAAAATGCTGCAATGAATATTTGGAGATGAATTATTGGAATCAATAAGAGTTTAGATGCTTGTAGGCCAAAACATTAACATAAAAGCCACTCGCAATCTGTTTACAAGCAACATATATAGAAAATTTAAATTTCTGATATAGTATTTGCAAAAGATGATGTGCCTAGGATAAAAGGCTGTCTGATAGGAAAATATAAAATGTTACTTAAAGGAGCTCTTATTAAAAGGACAAACAGGCCACCATAGACATGAGTCAAACATTCAATATTGATAAAGAGCCAAATCTAAAATGTCAACAAAATCCCAACTAGAACCACAAAGTAGTTTTTGGTTGAACATTTTATGACAAATTGAAAACTAAAATGGAAAAGACATGCACCAGAAAATAATCAAGGTACTTTTGAGAGGAGCAAGGTCGAATTGTCTTGCCTTACCCATGTACCAGAATTGGCTATAGATCTGTAGTAATTGAGACATTGTTGCATTTCAAATACATAAATGGGGCTATAGCACTTAAAAGAGAGTATTAAAAATTAGCCGACACATATGTAGATACTTGTTTTAAGGTGCACTTGTTGCTATAGCCCAACTGGAAAAGGGAAGACATTTCAATGAGTGGTTCACCGAGAAAATTGGATATCCACTTGGAAGGAACCCTATTCAAAGCTCAACACAAAACTCAGGATAATGACTAATGACTACACCCATATGGAAGGGCATGGGGTGTGATTGGGAGGAATACAATGACTATATTCTGCAGGCTGGCAATGGTTTATTTCTCGACCTTGTTTCTGGTTATATGGGTGTTTGCTTTTATAAATTAGAGTATATAAACCCTACAGATATATTTTACGCACTCTTCTGTAGCTCAGATTTGAAAAATGCTTCCTCCAAGGAAATGTAATGGAAAGAAAAGTGTGCAAAGCAGACATTTTAATGAAGTTTGATTCGGTTTTGTTTTGTTTTGTTTTGAGACAGGTCTCGCTACTCAGTGCAGGCCGACCTTGAGCTCACTATGTAGCCCAGGCTGGCCTCAAACTCGCATTGATCCTCCTGCCTCAGCCTCCTGAGTGCTGGGATTACAGGTGTGTGTGCGCTATCTTGCCAGGCTAAGGTTTGAATTGTTATGGATGAACAGCATGGGGCTTGATTTTCCAGTCCACTAGCACTACAAGAGGTGTGGGGGTGGGGATCAGGGATTACCTAAGTGATAAGTAACCCATAATGTCATCATCACCTTAAAATAAACTTTTCCATTTCCATACGTGTCACCCTATATGTATGTCAGTAATTGCCAACTCACTGATGACAAAGAAGCTGGAACATCATCTCACCACTAATAAGATCACCAGGCATCACAGGTGGAGTGGTTTACTGTAAGACTAGGCTACCACACTTAAAGGAGAGCAGGTACACCAGGGACTAGTCTGTGTATTTTACTGGAGAGAGTCCATTGCAGTCGTGCTGCACAATCTACAATAAACTGAAGAATGTCTTCATCGTGCTGCGAGATTGGGCATGAAATTTATCATGGTGTAGTAAGTGATGGAAGGGTAGAGTTGGTTTAGGTTGAGCACTGTACAGGGACAATCCAGGAGCAGGTTGGGTTTTCCAGATTTCAGTATAAATTGTTTCATCCTCCAGGTGTAGCACTTCTAGGCTGAACAGTGCTAATGTGTTTTGGCCCCATCTCTTATTCTAATCTGCATCCGGAGGACAAAAAGCTTCATTGTGCTGAAATTTTTTTCCCCAGGACCTTGCTCAAGATAATTCTGAGCATAGAAGTTGTTGGAGGAGGAGCAGTTGCCACAGGAATTCTACTGGTGTTTAATGGTAACATATAAGACGGTTCATTCTCTCTGAAATTTCTCTCATCCATCAATCCAGCCAGCCAGTCAAACAGTAAATAATTTTAACACACAAATAGCACTAAGCAACCGGGAAAGGTTAGGATATGTCTATTTTGGTATATACAGTGAAGTACGGATTTAAGTTGCTTTTATCGGATAGATAACTAGGTACTCTTGCACCATTCCCGAATGTGCTGTCATTTCCCCATTACCAAAGAAGACCTCCTTGATCATAAACTGTGGACTAATTTATGTACATCAGGGTTTGCCTCTGGGCTTTCTCTTCTGTTCCAGAGACCCGGCACCAGAATATTTAAATCACTGTGGCGTTAAATACGTTTTAATATCTGATAGGGCCAGTTTCTGCGCATTGCACTTTTTTTTTTTTTTTTTTCCTTTCAGGAACGAGTTCGGGCCCGCGGCAGGGGGCGGGGTCGCGCCTCCGCCGCGGCTCTGGTTCCAGCCAAGCCTCGCCGGTACAGAGATGGAAATCCCGAGGCTACTCCCGGCTCGCCGGACACCACAGGGCGGCGGCGGCCGTTGCCCCGCGGGCGGCGGTGGGGTCCACCGAGGCCCTGACCCGCCAGCCGGTCAGGCCCCGGCACGCCACCTCCTACTGCTCCGGGGGGCCCAAGATGGCGGGCCCGGGCCGCGGAGCGAGGAGGCCCTCAGGGCCTCACGGGGCCTGGGCCCAAGCCCGTTGGCGCTGAGGCCGGATCACCCGAGCGGCGGCGGCGGCGGCGGCGACGACTTCTTCCTAGTGCTGCTTGACCCGGTGGGTGGCGACGTGGAGACTGGGGTCACCGGTCGGGACGAAGGGCCCGTGTGGAGGGAGGAGACCGAGGCAGGCCTGGGACCCCAGGGGGAAGAGAGCAGCCTGAAGCCCGCGGGCCGCCCTGCGCTGAGCCCCCACTGCCCATCCGCGGTCCCAGTCCCGGCCCCAGTCCCCGCCCCGGGCCCGGGCCCAGGCCCCGCCGCGGCCTTCTCAGGCACCATCACTGTCCACAACCAGGATCTGCTCCTACGCTTTGAGAACGGCGTCCTCACCCTGACCACGCCCCCGCTGCCGGTCTGGGAGCCAGGGGTCGCGCCTTTCCATCAGGCTGGGGGTCTAATCGCCCCGCCAGCCGGATTCCCGCACCTGGCACAGCTGGGTGACTGCCCTGAGCTGCCGCCCGACCTCCTGCTGGCGGAGCCAGCGGAACCTGCGCCAGCCCCTGCGCCGGAGGAGGAGGCTGAGGGCCGGGCCTCGGCCCAGGGCCCCGGTGGGCCGCTGTGCCCTGGCCCAGGCGTGGTGTTGTACCTGTGCCCTGAGGCGCAGTGCGGACAAACCTTCACTAAGAAGCACCAGCTGAAGGTGCACCTGCTGACTCACAGCAGCAGCCAAGGCCAGCGGCCCTTCAAGTGCCCCCTGGGCGGCTGCGGCTGGACCTTCACGACATCTTACAAGCTCAAGAGACACCTGCAGTCTCACGACAAACTGCGGCCATTCAGCTGCCCAGTGGAAGGCTGTGGCAAGAGCTTCACCACCGTGTACAACCTCAAGGCGCACATGAAGGGCCACGAGCAGGAGAACTCCTTCAAATGCGAGGTGTGTGAGGAGAGCTTCCCCACGCAGGCCAAGCTCAGTGCCCACCAGCGCAGCCACTTCGAGCCAGAGAGACCCTACCAGTGTGCGTTTTCCGGCTGCAAAAAGACATTTATCACAGTGAGTGCCCTGTTTTCCCATAACCGCGCCCATTTCAGGGAACAGGAACTCTTTGCCTGCTCTTTCCCTGGCTGCAGCAAACAGTATGACAAGGCCTGTAGGCTGAAAATTCACCTGCGGAGCCACACGGGTGAGAGACCTTTCCTGTGTGACTTTGACGGCTGTGGCTGGAACTTCACCAGCATGTCTAAACTCTTAAGGCACAAAAGGAAGCACGAGGATGACCGGAGGTTCACGTGCCCTGTAGAAGGCTGTGGGAAATCTTTCACGAGGGCTGAACATCTGAAAGGCCACAGCATAACCCACCTGGGCACAAAACCTTTTGTGTGTCCCGTGGAAGGCTGCTGTGCCAGGTTCTCCGCTCGAAGTAGTCTCTACATTCACTCCAAGAAACACCTGCAGGATGTGGACACTTGGAAAAGCCGTTGCCCTGTCTCCACCTGCAATAAACTCTTCACATCCAAGCACAGCATGAAGACCCACATGGCTAAAAGGCACAACCTGGGCCATGATCTATTAGCTCAACTAGAAGCTGCAAATTCCCTTACGCCCAGCAGTGAACTTACCAGCCAGGGACAGAACGATCTCAGTGAGGCAGAGATTGTGTCGCCCTTCTCCGACGTGCCTGGCAACAGTTCTGCTGCAGTGCTGGACACGGCATTGGTGAATTCTGGAATCTTGACTATTGATGTCGCTTCGGTGAGCTCAACTCTGGCAGGGAACCTCCCAGCCAGTAATAGTAACCCCTTAGGGCAGGCTGTGGACCCTCGGGCCTTGATGGCCACCAGTGACCTTCCTCAAAGTCTGGATACCTCTCTCTTTTTTGGAACAACAGCCGCTGGCCTTCAGCAGGGCCCCTTAGATATGGATGATGTCTCCAGTGTAAGTGTGGGGCCATTGAGATCTCTAGGCTCTTTGGCTATGAAAAACTCCAGTCCAGAGCCCCAGCCCCAGGCTTTGACACCCAGCAATAAGCTAACAGTGGACACAGAAGCTCTGACTCCTTCGAGTACCCTTTGTGAAAACAGTGTCTCAGAACTACTGACACCAACCAAAGCGGATTGGAATGTACACCCCGACTCTGACTTCTTTGGACAGGAGGAAGAAACCCAGTTTGGTTTCTCCAATCCAGCAAGAAACCATGGTTCTCAGAAAGAAACAGATCTTATCACAGTGACCGGCAGGTCATTTTTGGTATGAACCAACTCTTATTTGTTATTTATTATATGTGGCTTATTTTTCTTTCACTCAATTTTGAGGGTACTCGGTACTGAATGCTTAAACGCAGTCACTTCCTACTGGTTTGCAAAAGAACACATCCCTGGACTACAAGTTTGGAGATTTAAATTCTGATCTTGAGTCTGGAAATGGCACGTTCTGTGACCCTGAACAAGTCAATTAACCTGTCTGAGCCTTAATTTCTTTATGTATAAAATGAAGTAGTTTGAATAGATTGTTTCTAAGGTCTTTTCTGCTCTATATTTTCAGGATATTTTTGTGTTTCTGGAAAAACAGGAGTAGTTTTTCAATGATTAGTCATTGCATAAGCTTCTCATGTAATGAAAAGTCCTTTGATCACTTTGAACATTAAAAGATCAGAGATGGAGGAGGTGGTGTTTCACTTTAAAAATTTAATCAATGTTTTGCACAGTGACCAAATATTTGTAAAATGTATTAATAGACTTCAAAAAAAGTAAAAACATTTTTGTTTCATTCTAACCTCCCTTTTTTTTTATTGGAGGATGTATTGTTTTTCTGGAACATCCTGGAGTTTTGTTATGATTCAAATCCAGACTAGAATATTGCCTTTATGGTATTCAATAAATGGTTTTAAAGAAGTGTTTAGTCTTTTAGATCTGTAATTCCCTAGCTTTCATATATATATGACTTTTTCTATAATAGTGTGTAGTGAAGGGAAAATACTTTCTGTTTTGGCATGTTTCAGCAAATCATTAATTTTCCTTTCCTAGTTCCCTCTTCAAAGGGGAGAAATTAGTATAATTTCTTATCACACTTGTGCAGGCAATATAGATTTGTACGGGTTAAGAAGAAAGGAATGGAGTTATTTCTTCCATGGATTTCTTAGGATTTTTCTCTATATAATTCTTATGTGACATTACCACCTGTCCATTATTCCAATTTGCTAGTGTCTTTCTCTCTGTTCAAAGGTAGCTGTTGGCTTTCCTATAGATGCTACTGTTCCATGAAAATCTGGGAATAGACCAGAAGGAAATTTTCTCTCCCCTGTTCTGGAGAGCTTATTGCTGGCCTCTCTGAAATGAGATGTTTTGTCTCCCTTTTGGCTAGATATGATCTATCTTGCATAAGCATAGCATTTTATATTTTATATGGAATTTTCTTACCCATTATATTTGATCATCACAGTCCCGTGATGTGGTTATATCAATACAACTGATATTAAAATTTACTTACGTCATACTACAAATGAGTTTCACTTAGTAACTATTAATTCCTTCTTTCTTAATTTTCTCTCAGATAGCACTTAAATCAAGGAGGAAATATTTCTCCATCATGTATTCCAGTCTTAAGAATTTTGTGATCATTTTGTTTATAACCTGTTGCTCTGTTCCACCTTAATTTATATCTGTTACTGTCTGCCTGCTCTGCTTCTTCTCTACCCTCTTCCCTTGTATGTACATCTCCTTTCCTTTCTCCTTTCTCTTTCTTTTTTTTCTATTTATTTATTTTTAATTAGATCGTTTTTATGGTCACCATGTTTCAGTCATTCTGTTCTCAGTCCATTTTTCAGTCACAGTATTTATGGCAAGTCTCTGTACAGTGAGAAATATTTTCTTGATTCAGATGACAATATATGAATCAGATGGTAATGTATTATTTTATGCAAGGTTTTAGAGAGAAGTACTTTTACTTTTCTAAAATTTTCCCCATGTAATTCGGCTAACAAAACCTATTAGTTTTTTAAAACAAACCAAGTACTGTTTGCATGTAGATACTTGAGGACAATTATCACAGTACTTTGACAGTACACTTCATAATAATCCACTTTGAAATGTCTTTATGTTTTCCAGTTGGTTGTACTTTTGCAGTGAAAAGCAAAGATCTATACATAAACTTATAATTCATAGAAATAATGGGAATTTTGTCGTGTCCAAGCAATTTAACAGTTTTCCCTCAGCACTTTGGAAAGATTTGAAACTGTTTTAGATATGTGTTGTCATTAGTTAAAATAATTAACATCTCTTAAGATTGTTCTTCTTTTCCTATGCACAGGAGCTCAAAGACTGAGGTGAACATAGAGGTCATAGGCCTCAATTACAATATATAACTGTAATAGTATTTAAAAATCTTTTATTTTGTTTCTTTAATCCCTCAGATCAATCCCCCCCCCATTAAAAACTGTCATAAGTTTTACTTTTGCCACAGTGTATGGAAATTTCAAAGGGTAAATTTTACTTTTTTTGAAGATAAACATCTTGTAATTATCTTTAAGGTTTCTCTTTCAGTACCATTTTCCTAGCATGATGGTGAAAATGACACGTAATTATAGTCAAAAGTATGGCTACAAATATAATGGTTACATTTCTGTTGGTGTTGGCATAAATTTGCCAGTTTTTTAGTGCAATGACACATGATTTAATTTTCTCATTTGGCTTTTGTTCCTCTTCAGTCTTTGATTTATTAATTTTTTTCCAATTGAAAACATAACAAAATATCTTTCAGGAAGGTTTGATTCCAGGGCACTATTAAGCATATTTATTATGAGTTAAAATATGTTAATCTTGACGTTTTACCACTTAACTCATTATAGTGTTACATAATTGGAAGCCTTGAGTAGCAGAAGTGGAAGTTCGAGAATATGAGGATCATTTTTCTGGATGAAATGCTCCATATTCTCCAGGAACAATGAAAAAGAGACCTTTACTATAACAGGGTGTTTAGATTATTCCTTGATTCCAAATTAAGAAATGATTTTATTCTCTGCTTGGCAATATTCATAATCCTTCAATAATTTTTGTATCAAACAGATCCATTGGTGATTTTGTAATATTTAAAATCCAATATAAAATGCAGGTCACTCAAAATATGTGATTATTGAAATGTAAAGGTGAACTAAAATGTATGTATGTATTGCTTTTGAAAAAAAAAGTTTGCTTAGAAACCTTTTAAAGCAAATTATGCCTTGTTGGTTTAAAGAACATGTCTAAGTACAAACTAGTATAAATACAAAGCACTCAAATAAATTTTATATATTTTTCAAGTGTAAATTGATGGAGCCTTTAGTAATAATTTTGAAAGTAGGGACCCTATTGTAAATTTCAAGTTATTGTACAGACTGTACATGGAATGCAAGGTAACATACTAGAGTAAGAAAAATAAAATATGAGCCATATCTTAATGTTAGAGAGGACATAGCAATTGACATAATAAACATTTAACAAATAAATATCATCAAACATATTAACATCAAATGAATGGCCTGGAGGAAGAGGAGGCATAGGAGATTTAGTTATGTAGAGAAGAGTGTTGGTGAGTTCTAACCAGGAAGAACAGCACAAGAAAGAATTCTAATGGAATTGCTTGCACACCACTGGGAAAGACAACAACTCAAATGGAAAGATCATGTTTAGTGGCTGGTAGATATTAGGGGGTTAGTCTATTATATGAAACCAAATTCTGGAAGACTATGAAGACAAGTCAGAACAGGCAGGACTTTATTTTACATATGTTTAACAGCCAGTGATGTTATTTGAGAAGACAAATCAAAATTTGAATATATATATATGAAGATTAATGTGGATAAATGAAATGTAGATTTGAGGGGGATGTGATGGGAAAATCAGGAGTCTGTTGTAATAATTCTAGGGTGCTGTGATGAAGGCTTGGACTAGAATGGTGGCAGGAAGGGACAGATATAGATGTTTCAAAATTGAAACATTAAACTTGGTGATTTATTGAGTATATAGGATGCCATCATAAAGAGAAAAAAAGATAAATGACTAAGGATTTCTTGCAGATAAGAAAGATAAAACTTTTTCAAGTATATTCATGGAAATGATTAGTTTAGATCATATTTAATTCATTGGGAAGTAATAAGTCATGATTATTGTTCAGATAACCTTGGAGATTACATACATACATATATATGTATAAGTTATATATCCAAGGTATACACTATTAGGCAGCAAGACCACTTCATCTTTCTTGGTTCTCTCATATGTTCACATTTAATACTGACACTTTTATTCTCTTGGAGTATTTACAGATCCTTTTCAACCTTCTACATTGGATACTCTGGACTACTCTGCACCAAAATGAGCTTCTGGCTACCTTTTCTTTCTTACTACTGTTTTCTTCCTTTCTACATATATTTAACATGGTGCTTAATAATATAAAACACCTATTGTTCATAATTTAAAAGATGTTACTTAGTCATTATTTTCAACAGTTCCTCATTATAAACTTTTATATTTACTTGGTTTTTTTCTCAGATTGGAAGATACAGAGGTAGGATTGTCCAATTTAGATGTGATCCTTGGGGCTTTTAAAATCTCTGTCATTTGGTAATAAGTGTAGGTCATTTGTAGGTCAAGTATTGATGTAGGAGCTCAGTCACACCAATGACATTCTCTGTTTTCTACATGTCTCAAAGTATTTGCTCCATTTTATATTTACTATTACTACTAATGGTTATAACTCAAAGAGAATGGACTGCAAATGAGGAAAGAGTAAAGTAGCATTAATAACAGTGATTACATTTTGTTTAATGACAAGTTTGCCATCCTGTATTGTGGACAGAACCATTTATCTTATTCTAGTTTTCTACTGATATTTATGAAGTGCAAAACACATTAACGTTCACTCTGCATACAGGAAATATCTTAAGTATATTAAAAAAAAGCAGAATGAGTCTTAAGAGGACTAATACAGTGTGAATCTTTTTAGAAATATCTTTTTTATGCCTCTTCACCAGCTCATTAAGCAGCTGATAATTACTGAATGTGAGGCATTATAAAGTATAACACAAAAGTACATTTAATTCATTCAAAGAAATATTTTGAGCATATATCTGACAAATTCTGCCTTTTCCTACACATTATCTAGATAGGTACCAAATATCAATAAGCAATGAAAAAGAATACATAATCAGTCTAAATATTTATATATTAAAATAGCACTAGCTAACAATAGTTTTTTCACAGTATGGACTTGAAATTGCAATGAGGGAAAATTCAATGCACAGATTATGAAATGCTACTTCAAAAAGTTCTAAGAACCTAAAATTTAAGGTAGGATATGGCAATTAAGATAAACTGCCATAAATGAAAATTTAAACCCAATTGAGAACAGTAACTTTTACTATTTACAGCAAAATTACTTTTGTAAATAAATAGTAAATTATGCTTTAATTTATTATACATACCACTGTTACATGTTATTCATGTTATGAAGTGATTTTTGGAAACTGTGTAAGACAAATATTTTATTTTTAAAATGAAAATCATTAACATACAAGTAAATGATATTAAGCCAGTATTTTTCTGTATAAATATTCTTTCCTCAGACACAAAAGCAAATTTTAATTTCCTGGCAAAATCCACAGACTTTAATTATGTAGGTATACTGAATGACAAAAAAGGTGTATCAATTCCATATGACATTTGGTACTGAGAACTGGAATTTAGGACTCTCAGGAAACTCCTGTGATTTCACCAATCTTTGATGAAGGATGAGGTAGTCATCAAGCATTTCAGATCCTGAATAAAATATTAGTAAATTAACACATTTGGAAATGGAAACAAAATACACTATAACAAAATATGACTCTCATTAATGGTAACACTAGGTTTCCAAGGTCCAAAACAATCACAAGTGATTGCATAAAACAAAAGTATTTTAACTCTCAGGCATTCCTACTTTGAATAAAGGCAGGAAATGATTAACTTTTATCAGGATCTATTTTCCTTCCCTGTTTACACAAACAATGGAGAGATATGATTATAGTGTGAAACTATTATCTTACATGAAGAAGAAGGAAGCTTGTCACATGTCCTTTTGTGGGGTAATCAGTCAAAATGAGCTGAAGTGGAAATTCCACAGGCAATGACTCAGTGAATAGTGCAGCAGTTTATTTCAGGCTAAGTCCAATTTAAAAAGTGTACTGCCAAACAGAGTGAATAGTGTTGACATTAGTTAGTTAATGCTAAGCTTAACGTGTCCTTTTCAAGGAATTGCAATAACTTTTTCCTTAAAATCACCTTATGTTCTTGTGCTTTATTGAGCTAATTATTAATTTATTTTTACTAATAATATCAACAAAAATTGCATCAGGTGTCATGATGTACTGATAGAAAAAAGAAGCCAATATTTGTTACTTTGCCTCATTTTTCAAAATGTTGTAAGTGAAAATTATTTTTCTCTTTTTTTAATGCAGACACTCACTTTGCCAATCAATTATGTCACTGTTATTTGTGTTTAGCAATAGGACTTGAGAATATTGTTAAAATAAGTGTTTTTAATTATAACTTTAGAAATTTAGTTACTTTGTAAAAGGGAAAAATAGGCTAACTATAGTATGTAGATAACAGGAAGGAATTATGGAAAAGAATGAATGATATGTTCATTCAGAAAAATTTCATTTCTATGATTAAATCAGAATTTGTATTTATCATTTTCATGATAAATCCAATCTTATATATTATTCAGCACATAATAGTTAAATTTTAGAAAACTGCCTATACCACTGGGTCTTTAAATGAGACCATAAAAAATTGACTAACTTCTGTTATGTTTGCTTTTTAAAGTCGGCATTGGATAGTCTTTTTACTGCTAAATCTTTGGACCAAAATTATTGAATATTTTAAAACACACTAAATAGAACTTTCTTTGCAAAGTGATTCTTATTAACCTTCACCATAGGCTCTGTTGATGCAAAAATTCCTTAAATGTAAAATGCTACCTGTATTTACAAAAATAATTGAAGATTCCTTCCAAAAATGGAATTTAAAATTTAAATGGAATAAGATTTAAATAAACATTTAAGTTTGCTCTATTAGCCAAATGTTTTGGCCTTATCAAAGTATTGTCCATTGAAAAGATTGAATTAAAGCATAGTGACATTTTTGAAATGTGTCCAGTATTGTCCAATTATAGTTAGCAATAAAAATCCATGTAATAGACATCATTGCAACATTGCTCATTGTCTCCAATAGTATCTGGCTTTTGGGAAGTTTTCTGTCATTATTCATGTGAATAGGTTTTTTTTATGGCATTTGGATTGTTTGAAGGTTTCTCATTGACTCCAATCAATCTTGTGTTCTGCTTCTTTGGATCATCATGTAGCTGTTGGAATGGTTTTTCATGGTCTCTTGCTATTTTAAGAATTTTTCTTGTCATGTTCTTGTGGTTAGACTGCAATCTTGTCTTCTGTATCCGATATTCTGTCCTCACCTTGGTTCAGACAATTGCATATACTTTCAATAGAATTTTTAATATCCTGGATATCTATTGGAATCTGTTTCATGGATTCCATTTCTTTCCTTTGTTGGCTTTTGGAAGTTATGAAGGCAGTAAAAAGTGGACAGAAATGTTTGCCTGATTTAGGTCCTGACTATAAAGTGCTACAATCCTATCAGATCGGTGTTGATTATTGTACATGATAATCTTAATAGTTGGCATTTTTAGCTATTTCTACTGCAATATTATTTAAAATATCTTAAACTACATGTGCTTCTTTAATTTTTGCCATTAAAGTTACTAATTCATTTTTACATTTAATTATTCTTTTCAAGTTTAGTGTTATTCAATTCAATAAGCATTCAGATAACAACCTACAGATTTTTAGTTTTGAAGCTCATTGCATATTTTTATCATTTTTTATTTAATTTTTGAGCTTCCATCTAATTAGAGTTGACTTGATAAGACATTTTTTAGTTTTAAAAATTTATTACTTTTAATAATTTTTGTTGAATCAACATGAATTACAAAAGGTCCCAAATAATAAGGCTATAGGTGCATGGCTTTTCACAAAATGAATACACCTATGAAACCACTACCCTGAGGAAATAGAACTATACAAGAATTTCAAAGTTCCTTCATGTCCTCTTCCTGTCACTACAACCATAAACCAAAAATAAATTATCTTGACTTCTAAAAGCAGAGGTTGAAGTTTTTTGCTTATGGCTCATTGTTTATTATTATTGAGATAGAAATTACATAACATATGAATAGAGTTACATTAATTATAGATAACTTGATTCTGGGGGGG